TAGAAGACCTCCAAGGTCTCCTCCAGATTCTATTCTATTCTATTCTATTCTATTCTATTCTATTCTATTCTATTCTATATGCACAGAGGTACAGTACTTGATGCTTTCCATTACTGTATTGATTACAGGAAAAACCCCAGGTTCCTGTAATATGTTTCAGTAGGTCTTGCAAAGTTGGAATTTATACAAGCTTTGATTCTGATAATTCTTTATTTATACAGGCTTTGATTCCGATAATTCTTCAGGAGAATTTTCAGAAGCAGTTCACAAAGTTGATGTGGATGATCACCAGAGTCACAGGACTGGAAAGCACAATGGCGATGGGCCAGTACAAGAGAATGGAATCAAGAAACACAGGTATTTTCTCTGGAACTGACTAAGCGGTACTCACATTAGTAAAATAATTCCTTTGGTTGGGATTTTTTACTAAGAAGAATTTGTTTTGAGAGTGGGCAGTGTGTAGACTTCATACCTGTGTATGAAGAACTATTTTTTTTTTTTGCTTTTTAATTCTTTTAATCCTTAAAAATCATCAGAATGATATATAAACTACATTGAGTGAAACGGGGGGCAATTCAGGAGGGTTTTCCAACGGCAGTTGTTGATTTTGAAGTTCATTGCCAAAATGGGAAGTGGGAATGCCACACTTGGGCAATCATGTTCCACAAGCAAACTGAAAAATACAGTGGTACCTCAGTACCCATTGGTAATTCATTCTGGAAGACGGGATGAATTCTAAAACCGACCAGTACCTAGAAAATCATGAGACTTACCACGTGACCCACTATTTCGGCCGGAAGAAATAGCGGGTTACGGGGTCACTGAATTCAATGAGTTTTGAAGCCGTCGAGTGCCGAGGTATGACTGTAAGTCCTTCATCTTCAGGGCTAGGGTTAGGGTTAGGGTTAAATAAATTTTTGATTTTAATTGCTTACTTGTATGAGAGAGATTTTCATTCCAGAATTATCTAGAACAGTGTTTGTCAACTTTGGCAACTTTAAGATGATTGCCTCCAATTCCCAGAATTCTCCAGCTAGCCATGTTGACCGTGGGATTCAGGGGGCTGGAGTCCAGCCATCTTAAATTTGCCAAGGTTGGAAAACATTGATCTAAAAATAATGTTTAACTTTATTTGGTCCTTGTAGGAGGAGTCTTGTTAGATTTGCTCCCATTTAGTTTTTATTCAAAAAATGAGCCAGTTCAGTTCATTAGGTGATTTTACCTTATTGTTTAAGGTTTACTTTGTGTAAAAAAAAAACCTTACACATCCTTTCCTTGGGATGAATCTCATTGTTCTGAATAGGGTTTGTACCAAATAATATTTACATTTTCAAATTTTAGAAACGGCTATCGTTGTGTGTTAAAAATACACATAGGTTTGCACATGCCACATTCATCAAGGCAGGATAATGCTCATGTATATTCATAATATTGCAAAGATCAAGGCAAGAATCTCGGAAAAAATACCGAAAATATTGCTACAGGTGATTTTATAGTGGTGCCTCTCATTTTAAAGCTGTTCACCTGTATGATTGAAGAAATCCAGAAAACAGCTTTGCAGAATAATATTTTATGGAAAGGTAGGGGACACTAGTATTAATATATTGATTTATTCTTCCCGCAGAACATCCTTACCTGCCCCAATGTTTACTAGGAGTGATTTCAGTGTCTGGAGTATCTTAAAAAAATGCATTGGATTGGTAAGTTACTATGGTATACTAGTATGGTTTGCTTGGCATGTTTGATAAATGTAGTGTGGACGGAGTAATGTAAATACTGGTGAATACATACAGAAGACAAATAAGGTTCCTTTGTTTCCTGATGGCGGGTTGATGATCTGTTACCGTGTTTCTCAACCTCAGCAACTTTAAGATTTCAGCTTCTAGAATGGCATAGCTGGCTGGGGATTTCTGGGCGTTGAAGTCCATCTTAAAGTTGGCTGAGGTTGAGAAACAGGCTACAATACATTTGAAATATAGTGTGTGTAAAGGCGGATGGGTGCATACGTTGAGCAGAATGGATAGATTGAGAAGTAAAAATAACCAAACAGCAACATAGCTAACTGTTCAGAGACTGATATTGAAAAAAAAAAAGGCAGCATAATGTGTTGTGGCAGCTGAAATAGCATCCCTTTGCATTATGTTTTGTTTGTCTGATGTTTTAAGTAGCGGCAAGCCGTAAGGCAGATCTCTGGAGCTGATGTCTATTAACTGACAGTTGTTTAACATTTGCTTGTGAAATCACGGTTTTGTATTTTTTCCCCCCCCCTTCCTACTATTTAGGAGCTGTCAAAAATTACCATGCCCATTGCCTTCAATGAACCCCTGAGCTTCCTTCAGCGAATAACAGAATATATGGAGCACACATACCTCATTAATAAAGCAAACTGTCATTCTAACCCTCTAGAAAGAATGCAGGTAAAATTCCTCCGTATTTTTATGGCCGCACTAAGGCTTTCTCCTCCTTTATACTGGATGCTTAATATCATATAATAAGAATCTTGTAAAGGTAGAGGTGCGTGTGAAGGAAGGGGAGAAAGGGAGAGGGAGGGGGAGAGAAAGAAAGAGGGAGGGAGAGAGACAGGAAAGAGAGGGAGAGGAGAGAGAGGGAGAGGAGAGAAAGAGAGAGAAAGAGAAGGAGAGGAAAGAGAGAAAGAAAAGGGGAGAGGAAAGAGAGAGGGAGGGAGACTTCCGGTGGCAGGCGCCTTCGCTGGACGCAGCTGTTTGCTGCTCCCGCCTGTTTCTGCGTTAAAGCCGTTTTGACAGCCTGCATCAGCTGTCAAACGGCTTGATACCTCTCCCCTGGGCATAGGGGGAAAGGTGAGCTGCCCGAGGTAGGAGTTGAGTTCCCGAGTCGTCCCTTGTGGACGATGTAGGTGAG